AATCCATTCAAAAGAGTTTTAGAACAATTATGAAAATACATACGTGCAGAGAAGATATAATATACATGCATATAAAATTTAAGGGACAAACTATAAGGTATAGTAAACAAAATAACATAAATATGGAACTTTCAGTGTTAGTGTCTGCAAAATTAAGGCATGGAGGAGGAAGGGGGAAACTTGTGGCCAATTTAGTCAAGTGAGTTGAATATGTTGTCTAGGAGCCCCAAGATTTTAAGTTGTGACTAATCTTATTTTAAGTTATGATGAATCTCATCATACCTAGTTCAATCTCGTTACCGACAAGTCTGTTTACTCGTTCCGTAATGCATCATCATGCAACTAACTCATTAGTCACATTGCTTGCAAAGCTTATAGTGATGAGCATTACCGAGAGGGCCCAGAGATACCTCTCCGATAAACAGAGTGACAAATCCTAATCTCAACCTATGCCAACTCAACAAACACCATCAGAGACACCTGTAGAGCATATTTATAATCACCCAGTTACGTTGTGACGTTTGATAGCACACAAGGTGTTCCTCTGGTATTCGGGAGTTGCATAATCTCATAGTCAGAGGAACATGTATAAGTCATGATGAAAGCAATATCAATAAAACTAAAAGATCATTTATGCTAAGCTAACGGATGGGTCATGTCCATCACATCATTCTCTAATGATGTGATCCCGTTCATCAAATGACAACACATGTCTATGGTTAGGAAACTTAACCATCTTTGATTAACGAGTTAGTCAAGTAGAGGCATACTAGGGACACTCTGTTTGTCTATGTATTCACACATGTACTAAGTTTCTGGTTAATACAATTCTAGCATGAATAATAAACATTTATCATGATATAAGGAAATATAAATAACAACTTTATTATTGCCTCTAGGGCATATTCCTTCACTATTTGGGTGCACGTAATAGATATCATATATGAAAATACCCATAATTATGTTTTGGTGTAGGGAATGGGTTTCCTTGATTTCAGACATTGAGCTTCAATAACAAAATACTATTGAACGCTCAATGACTATGTGAACTAAATAATACAAACACTAGTTGATTGATCGCTTCGTGATATCCCTAGCCAATAGTGATGGGCATGTTAGATGAATATCTGTTGAGGTATGAAGAGCAAGCTTTGTAGTATCAGAAGAATCATCCCTCGGTATTTGAGAACCACGGTATCAAATTCCTGGAATTTTCTATAAGCCAATGATTAGCCTTGCACACAACTAGAGAACTTCTCTTGGTCCGCAACTTAGACTACTGAGGTTGTAAATTTCACTAGCTTTGTTAGTTACCATAATTAATGCATTAGGTTGTTTGAATTGAGTTTTATACGCAAAGGAAATTGATATTTAGATGATTAAAGAACTGAAAAACAAGTAAACTATATTTTGTTTATGAGGAAGAAAAGACCGGTATCCATAATTTGACTAGTGGCATCTCTCGGAAGTAGCATATGCATGCTGAATAAATTAAAATTGTGTATTAGTAAATTGCAACACTTATGGTTACTCATACATGTCATGATTGCATATGGGAATTATGTCCTTATATCTATAAACTTTTATGTGATAATGCCAAAGTGCATGGGATCTATTCTAGACCTTTTTGATAAGCAAAAGTAAACCTAACGAGGAGCATGATGAATTGGCTGATGGAAACTAGTAAGGAATGGCTATAAAAGCCATAAAGATTGTCTGGTGGTTTGTTTGATGACAAGAATCATTGCAAGAATTCAAATAGTAACAAACATGCAATAGTGCAACAAGTGACCCAATCCCTAATTGTGCTAAGGAAAAGCTAGTTGTTTTACTTAAAGGATCAAATCGCTCTCATGGACATACATGAGTTTCACCAAGTTACTTTCATTGAGTTAAGATTCATTGATTTGATAATTCATTGTGTGGTGGAACCTATAATAATGTGTTGTTCTTAATTGAATAAACAACTCACTTAAGATAACAACTAACCATAGCTTCAAATCTTGGGGGTTCCAATATCCCCTCATGCAATAGTTCATAAACTTAGCGTTTGATAAATAATGTCACTCCAACCACCCATCATAGATAAACTAATCACACAATGTTCTCCTATAGTTCCATAAAGGTGAGGTGATATGCAATTGACATTCGCAATTATACCACAACATAATGTCAAATCATTGAACTTTATTCAAACTTCACAAGATTACCAGCAACAAGGTTTATCCCAAGTCCTCAAGAACATAAAGGATTTCTCACAAGAAATCATATGGATCATGATTAGTGGGGATGAAGATATGATTAACAATTTTAACATATAAATATTTCACCAACAAAACTTCTAAGCATCAAACATAGAGAGTTATCAACACCAAAAAGTAATCTCGGCAAAGGATGTGAGACAATAGTTCATAGACTGAAAGCTAGGGTTGGAGATGGATGATGGGGTTGCTGATGATCCCCATGATGCCTTCATTTTTCCCCTTCTAGAGGGAAAGGATCACGTAGAAACAACCTTCGGGGAGCAGAAAAGTGCTCCGCCTATGGTCTGCTCACAGATAGCAGCGAAAAAATCTAGTAAAATTCCAGGGTGACTTTTACGGTAATATAGGATTAATGGGTACTGAATCTTTTTAGGGGCTTCCCGTGGGCCCCATGCGACTACACCACACTGTCAGGGAGTTACCGCATGCGTCCCAGAGGAGTCCCCCCAGGTGGGCTCATGTGATAGCCTGGCTTAATACAGATGATAGACTACTCATATCAATAAGGAATTCCTTCTTTTCCGGAAACTCATTCAGACAGAACTCCAAAGTTAAGCGTGCTTAGCTTGGAGTAATTTCAGGATGGGTGACCGATCGAGAAGTTGCTCCCGGGTGCGCACGAGTGAGGACAAAGTGAGCAGAAAAGACTAGTATTGATCTGTGGGGCCAGTCTAGATCCCGCCAGGAATAACGACCACCGGCGGGTGTGTCCGGAGAGTTACAAGTTGGTATCAGAGCCGACCCTCGCGGTTACACGGATGCTTGCGGACAGGTGCGCGGTCATGTTGTGCATGACGTTTGTGACCCGTCGTGGCACACAGCATGGCACATGTGCCGGACTGGAAGCATAGACGTATGTGCCAAGAGGGAACGTTCCTGTGGCCCGATGAGGACGCCGGTTCCTCTGAGTGGGGTGTAATGTGATATCCTGGCTTAATACGGATGATAGACTACTCATATCAATAAGAAATTCCTTCTTTTTCGGAAAGTCATTCGGACAGAACTCCAAAGTTAAGCGTGCTCAGCTTGGAGTAATTTCAGGATGGGTGACCGATCGGGAAGTTGCTCCCGGATGCGCACGAGTGAGGACAAAGTGCATAGAAAAAACTATTCTTGATCTGTGGGGCCAGTCTAGATCCCGCCAAGAGTAACGACCACCAGCGGGTGTGTCCGGGGAGTTACAGCTCAGTCGCCCTGTCTTTCTTCTGGCACAAAAATAATTACATCTTTTTCTGGAATTTTTTGGTATCTAGAAAATTCTTTTCTTCACTGATCCTTATTTTGCTCATTCTCTGGAGCTTTCTGGTAATTACCCTCCTCTGGTTAATCATGCAAATTGAGGCAAAAAAGTAGTACTCCCTTCGTCCTATTGAAGTGCCGCGAATGCATGTTAAAACTCAAGTTTAACCACTAAATTGACTAACTAAACATGGATTATGTTTCACAAAAAAGTGTACTACTCCTTCCGATCCATATTAGTTGTCGCTCAAACGGATGTATCTAGCACTGAAGTATGTCTAGATACATCCGTTTAAGCGACAACTAATATGGATCGGAGGGAGTATTTAATTTGTGTTTGACATGTAGCACATATATTATTGACCAAATTCACGGTCAACGTTAAATCACGCAAAATGTGGACCCCTTATTAAAGGGACAAAGGGGTATACTCTACTGCAAATTCTAAGGTTGTCGCGTGAGATAACACAAAGTAGCCCCTTCCATGGATAATGTCTTATTGTTATTTCATAGGATCTCACAAAATAGCCTCTTCCATGGATAATGTCTTATTGTTATTTCATAGGATCCCCAATAACTGTTGTTTTGGTGGTGTTGTGCTATTCGATGAAACTAAAAACAAATCTGATAATAACTAAATAAACTTTAGTAAATGTGTGCGGGACACATGTAATCTACGAGCACTCTCGTGCTGCTAACATGTTGCCGCCACAAAAACAAGAGATAAGCACACACAAAATACAAATAATAATATGTGCCAGTCTTCTTAATCCATGAGTATTAGCTCCTTGCCCTCCCAACGAGTTCCCCAAAAGTCCCCCGCAAAAAACAGTACCCTAAAAGAACACAAATAAGATTTAGTTGGATACTGCTCAACTTAACTAGTCAACAGTATATGTACAGTAGGGGTCCCTTGCCACCTCTAGAAAGAGGATTCAGAGGGAGTTCGTAGTTCATGGCCAAGTTATTGCAAACATATCATCTAAAATAAAGCTACTTTTTCATACTCTGTTAGCACCATCATGCCATAACCCGTAGGAAACTTCTAGTGTTACTGCATTGGATCAATTATATACTACACCTTATTTTAGATCATATGATGCACCGGAAAAACTCTCTACGTTTAGAGTACTGCCGAGGCAGAGGTGTGGTGGCAAGGAACTTGGGCCAATCATCCCTTAGCTCTCCCCTCAGGGACACTTAATCCTTTAAAGCTTATCTCTAAATATCGTGCCCAGCAATAGCATGCATGCACTATCATTGGTTATCTCATGAAATTCATCGATTCTCCTATTTCAGTTACGAGGGAAGAGGACACCACTATATTCCATTTACTAAACAACGAATTGCTTAAACTGTCACCATATTATGATATCAATCCAACAAACAACATATATTGTCACGATTCAAAAGGAAATGAAAAACTCGCGGCTCGCAGGCACACACATACATGGCATTTATTCTTTATACTATTTATAGGTGTAACACTACAACATATTAGTAGTGGTTATTCTCCCAGAACTGAGATTGGAGCCAATCAATCAGTTTCTTTTCCACCTGAAACGCCGTGGCCAAAACATCATCCGAAATGGGTGGGTTTGATCCAAAGACTGCATTGGCAATAGAAATAACTCCTGGGTTTTGGCTGCTGAGTGATGACAACGCAGCTGCTGGCTTGTCATGCGCTAGATTCATTTGGAAGTGGATCATTGCCTTCGGGAACACAAATACGTCACCCTTCTTGACCACCCTGGAGAAGAGCCTATTTGGGTTGGATGTGACAAATCCAAGGTAGAGAGTTCCCTCAAGCACAGTAAGGAGCTCAGTGGCACGGGGATGTATATGTGGTGTGTTCACGCCCAATGGTCCATAGTCGATGCGTGCCAGCGAGATACCAAGGGTGTTGAGGCCAGGAAAATTGATGACGTTAATGTTGGTGACGTTGGACCCAACCTTGCTGTTCTTAGTATCCCTAGGTTTGTCAAGCATGGCTAGATTGAAGAAATCTTCCGGGTTGACGGCCATTGGGTCCTTGCAAGGAAATCCATTAACTCGCACTGCATGCATGGAGGAAGTAACACTAAGTTTACCCGCAAAAAAAAAGTAACACTGAGCTTACAAAGTAGCATGCGTTTTGAGTAAGTAGGAATTTATAATACCTTGTTTTGGTATCAACATATATCATGTAAAACTCATAATAACTCAGGTGTGACCACAGATATGCTACGAGACCATTACAGCATCACTGGTATTAATGCATACATACATACACATGATACATATACATACCAGGTGACTTCATGTCGGCGACGCAGAAGTCTTGCAGAGGGCTAGGGTCATAGGCAGTGGCCTGCCATGAGACCACCGCAAGAAGCACGGCAAGGAGAAACAAGGAGGAAGAGGAGGCCATTGTGAGATGCTTTGTCCATGGAGGCATGGGTAGATGTTCTTATATAGTCGGAGTTGGCTTTGGCTCAAGGTGGCGCAAGCACATAGTGTGGTGACATGATGGAACTTCTGCATGCATTTGATCAAACAGGACAAGTCAAGTACGAGAGGAAATGATCAACCGGATTGAAATAGTCAGCTCTAGGTGCTACAACCTGATTGGTTGTTCAACATCTCATGTTTTCTTTATATACTTATGCATGGTATCTGCTCCGCCAAGTAACCTTACGTGTGCATGCGCGTACATATTTTGCACAAGCTGGTCGACGATCCTGCTGATTTTCTTCCGTTCTCCCGGGGGTGCTATCTAGTCCGGTTCTCCGGGCGGTGCTATCTAGCCCATGCTCATCGTAGAGACCGGAGATATGCATGGGCAATTCAACCGAGTAGCATTTCCATCTTTGTAAGAATGGTGGATAACGACAATGATATGTAAGCAGAAGTCATCATCATATCTTTATCTAATGCGTCATACTACCTACTCCTATAAATAAACAACATAAAAAGCAATTGCATGCTTGTAAAAATGGTACGTTCTCCAGGTATTGCGTTAGCTCATGTATATAAACCCCCTTTCGTCAGTATTTGGTTTCAGAGTTACAATGGAATTATGGATCATGTTCTCCACAATAAAAAATCCTCACCAAAAAAGGAATAAAGAATCATGATTTTGTTTCACATCCGCCTATGATCTGCGGACGGTACTCCCTCGATTTTTTTTTACCCCGCGTATAAAATTTGATCAAAGTCAATCTACACAATGTTTGACCAAATTTATATCAAAAAATATGAACATCTACAATATTAAAACTATATAGTATGAAAATACATTTCATGATGCATTTGATAATATTGATTTTACATTATGAATGTTGATAATTTTTAATATAAAGTTAGTTAAATTTTATAAAGCTTGACTTTGACCAAACTTTATGTATATGCAGACTAAAGAAACGGAGAGAGTACTGAGTATGAATTATGATAGTATGCAATAACATTAAGGTTGCACTAGACAATTTTGTTGAGTATGCACTTACGACTGCAATAGTACGTGAATTTGAGAGCAGGTAATTAATGATGACCGGTTCAACGATGGAAAAGTCAGCGGTCGTGACAAACATGAGTTCATTATAAGTTCGGTCGGTGACATGTTTCATATCTCTATGCAGATACGTGTACTGTTTTTTTTCTTAATATCAGCTACGTGTGTTTTTTTTTTGCGGGTGAGCTACGTGCGCTGTCATTGGGGCTATATACGAGGATTCAATATTGTCAAGAAGAAAGTTCCAATGTACGGACAGATCCTACGCTTATCCCTTTTCCAAAAATTGTATAGTCAAATCGTACTCCAACTTCACTAGCGGCATCTCGGCGAGCGCTTACGTCATCACCTCGTCGCAGTTGGCACACACAATAGCGAGTACCTATCTCGTGAGGCGGCCATGCAGCCGAGAATTGCATTCAAATCCGTTCTTTCTTTTTTTTGCGAGGTAAAAGGATTGTATTAATTAAGAAAGATCAGTACAATCCTGTTGGCAAATGACGCCAATATCATCAGGTCCATGACGAAGCCACACAGCAGTACGTGGTTCAGAGATCCCTAGCTGGGCTAGGGCGTGACTAGCTTTATTCTTACTTCTACTAACACGTGATAACACGTACTCACGACCTAGTGCTAGAAGCCGCTTAGCTTCATCAACTAGTGCAGCAACAGGGGATTTATTTTGCTCACTGTCACCAATCATGCTTGCAGCAATGGTACTATCAGTTTCCAAAATGAAAGGCAACGTAGACCACTCAAGGGTGAGAGCGATTCCTTCCATGCACGCAGCTACTTCCGCCTCCAGAGCACTTGCACATGTGGTCAGTAGTCTGCACGATGCAAAGATTATAGCTTCATTGCTGTCGCGTAGGATCATCCCAGCTCCTCCTATACCATCAGACTCATGCCAAGCACCATCAACATTTAGCTTTGCCCAGCCCTCGGGTGGCTTCTCCCATCGTTCCAGCGGCCTAGTGCAATCAGCAGGGGTGGCCGGCATCTTCAGACGAGCTTTGCTGTTACGATGCTGAATTATCATCTTCCCTTTAGTTACATCCTCATGTGGGTGTTGCTGGATGCATCTTAGGCTCTGCATGTAGCTAGTCAAGAATCGACAAGAAGCATATACTGGTGGGGCTGGTTTGTTGTGGACAACTTCATTCCGGACATGCCAGCTCCGCCAGAGTGTCATGATCACCGGGCAGGCGCTGCTCATCAGTGCATTGGTTCATCAGATGTAGAGCCCACTCCGGGCCCGAGTTGACGACATCCTCGAGGCGAGGCATACATTCAGTGCTTGCCATCGCCTTCCAAAGCATCCTTGCGAGCGGACACCTGCACATAGCATGGTATGTATCCTCGGATTCCATGCCACACAGCTTACACACATTAGTAATCTCCAAATTTCTTTTTGTTTTATTTTCCACCGTCGCTAGAGAATTAGTGATAAGACGCCACACAAATATGCGTACCTTTGGAGGAGCAGGGCACCCCCACACTGCCTTCTAGACGGCACGAGTGCCGTCCGGTGCCCTGCTCGTTGCACCCACATTGGTGCTTGTAGAAAGGTCGACGCCGAGGTGGTACACACTGCGGACAGTGAAGACACCTCGCGGATCTGGTGCCCATGCCAAAACGTCCTCCAGTTGGTGTGGCGATGCTTTGATCTTGAGGATACATGCAGCATCGATGGAGTGGAAGAGGCGCTGGATTAGGTTTGGGATCCAACGCCCCCTCTGTGAAAATTATAGAATGGATAAATATTGTTGTTGTTTCTGTTGTATTGATCTGACCCAAGTGTGGGTTATATATAGAGTACATGAGGGGTAGAGGCTTGGAGTACAAGACAAGTTACATGTTGTTTAAACATATGCTATCTCTATCTCCTAATCTCTAACTTAAACCCAATTATATTTCTAACATTCCCCCTCAGTCGTAGCGGGAGTGAAGCGGACGATTGCGACTGAATTTGAAGTCTTGCGCTTCCGCTGTCTTCTCCACTGCGCCATCATTAACTGCGTCTCTGATGAGTTGGCAGTTAAGGCGGTGACTGCGTCCCCTTCTGGTGCCTTCCTGCCTTCTCCTCTATTCCCTCCCGCAGTCACAGCGGGAGTGTCGTGGACGCAAGTGACGAGGCAGACGCTGTTGACTGGAGTTGTTGCCGATGAGTTGCTGTAGACGTAGCCATTAATGTCAAGCTAGCCGATCATGATGATGTAGCCGTGGTCAAGGTAGTCATGGTCGATGGTGTGGTCGTCATGGATGATGAAGCCGCACAAAGCCGGAGGCGCAAAAAAAAATGCACTATGACGGAGCTGCAGACGTGGACGATATGCACCTTGCGGATGTCAGAGGGTGCCATCGGCGATGAGTCCACCGATTTTGCCAAGACCGGAGGAAGCCCATCGAGCACATATCGGTTTTGCCAGAACCGTGTGGCCGTGGAGGGTCGTCACTGTAGTGACGCCGTGTCGATGCAGTCGTGCCGTCGTGGATGACGCGGAAGATGCCGTCGTCGTGACGTAGTCATTGCCGTCGTCGAAGTTGCGCCTTGCAGAAAAGTCTGTCAGAGGACGCTAGGTGTCCATCTTGTGGACGAGGCGGCGGCGGTGGTGTGTTGACGATGATGCTGGTGAAGACCATGTTGATGGAGACCTTGGCGATGAAGTGTCGGCTATGGCGTTGCAACAGCGTGTCGACGATGGTGTCGCTTGAAGGCGTCCCTTGCAGCGACGGTGTGTCGACGCCGTGTCGTGCCGGAGAAGTCGATGAAGAATTGCATCTCTTTCCACACCGGCCTGGCGTGTGGACGATGCATGTTGGTGTCGCTTCTTGTAGATGTACTTGACAAAGATTTTTTTTTTCTGACGATGTAGTCGTACAGCTCGGTGTAGGTTATGCAGTTCTGCTCGGTGGAGGAGTCGATCGCTCGGTGTAGATGTTGATGTAGTTGCAGTCCGGCTCGGGGTAGATGTGTTCCGCTGGTGCATAGTCCCGTGCGCGGACGAGCCCAGACCGGCTGATGCATGACGACGCAGTCGCTTGGGCAGATGGCTGGAAGCTACGGGAGATAGGTACATGACTGGATACATATGCATGCCCATACCTGGACCCGTGCGTGAACTGCTGCTTCTTGATGGTGCGTGCGTGAGAAGCTGATGCTGGAGAGTGCGCCGGTCGATGAAGCTGGAGAGTGGAGACGCGTGCAGATTGCCGCGTCAGTGTCCGCACCGCCTGTGGCCCTCTGGCCGGACGCTCGCATCCGCTGTACTCAGCAGTGCATTCGGAGGTTGATGTAGATCGGATCTAAGGCCGGTCATTGCCGCATGTTGATGGACTCGTTTGCTGCGATCGGTGCAAGACTGGAGGTGAGCTGGCGTTGGAGATCGGATCGAACGAAGCCGCCGGTGCTGCTTGATCAAAGCCTTCTGTCGGGGCTGATCCTCCTGGCCTGCGCCCGTGGAGTTCCAACTTGAAGCCGGCTGCATGCAGCAGCGCCTGGTTGAGCCCACCATGATCGCCGTCATGAACTTGCACTGATTTTTACTGGAATATAAGGGCTATGAGATTTATTTGGTGACTAAAAAAATAATCTACTGGATGGAGATTGGGAATTCGAAAATTGAATCTAATCTAATGAACCGATCTATCTTTGATGATCGGATGCCGCGCCCCCAGGGAGATCCTCTCCCCGGGGGCGGCGCGCTGCGGAAGTGGTGGAAGAACCTAGGATCGGCGTCGTGAGACTAACCGCTCTAATATCATGTGGAAAATTATAGGATGGATGAATATTGTTGTTGTTTCTGTTGTATTGATCTGACCCAAGTGTGGGTTATATATAGAGTACATGAGGGGTAGAGGCTTGGAGTACAAGACAAGTTACATGTTGTTTAAACATATGCTATCTCTATCTCCTAATCTCTAACTTAAACCCAATTATATTTCTA